CCCCAAAACCCCAAAACCCCAAAACCCCAAAACCCCAGCATAATTTATCGAAATGAATTTTTTATAACTTATCAATAAAATACTTAAATTCAAATAAAAAATGGTAAGCACCAATTTAGAATTATGTTCTTACTGTGTTCACCGGGTCAACCTACCTTCGGTATTAAGAGCCATTGTCCTGAAATATAAAGGAACAGGATTCTAGACATTTTTACAACTTTTGGAGTAACTCTAATCTGGATTTTAGTTTCACGATACACTTCCAAATATTGATGTAAAATACAAGCTAAAAACCAACATCGGCTATGGAGGCACTTCTAGTGTGTTCCTCTCCGATCTTGATGGTCAAAGCGTTGCACTTAAGTGAGTAAGGAAAGATAAAGGCCTCGAGAGAGAACAAGAAAAGAAACTGGTTTTAAGGGAAGCTGAGATTATCAGGAAAGTCGGATTCCACCCTAATATTATCAACGTCATTGAGTCTCACTCTGAAGGAGTTCATGATTATCTTGGAGTTACTGATCAAGTTTCATATAACGTCTTGGAGTACTGCCCAAATGGGAGTTTGTTTGATTTCATTAAGAAAAATGGACCTCTTGGTGAAAATGAAGCATGATTCTATTTCAAACAACTGGTTTATACCATAAAACACCTTCATGACAAAAATATAGCTCATTGTGACATTAAGCCTGGAAATATCTTTCTTGATGAATACTTTAACCTGAAGCTTGGAGACTTTGGATGAGCCTTCTCTTTACAAAGCAAGGAATACGGCATTACAAAAGGCTTCGGAACAAAATCGTATATGGCTCCAGAAGTGTTCAAAGCTTCAAAAGGTGCTCCATATAGTCCTTTCATTGCAGATATTTTTGCATTGGGATGAACTCTCTATTTCTTGGTAACTGGGAAGATTCCCCTCTACTCTGAAACTTGCTCTTCCTCAACTGAAGAAGAGTCTGACTACATTTGCTCTCCTTCAAATGTGTACATTGGTAATCTTGAAGACCTTGACTTGATGGTTTATGATATGATAGAAAGGTGTACAGCAAAGAATCCAGGAGATAGGCCAGATATTAAGACTATGACAACTCACCCATGGTTTGATGATAGGGGAGACCCTGATTACTTAATCAAAATATTTGATTACATGAAAGCTAGGTCCTAAACTTTGGATAGATACTGCTTTAATTTAATTCTCATAACTTTTAATTCATAACCACTCTCTGATTCTTATCTTTTACACCAAAAACAGCATGAAGATGTTTCTTTTAGACTTAACCGGAGATGCATCATTCTGGGTTATAATTGAAGTTGAATAAGACTCATATCCGAGTGATAAACCTGTTTTAACAAAAATTCTCAATAGGATTCTCTGACTACTTCGCATTGGTTTTAAGGCTAAATATTTTTTAAATTCCCAAGATTTATACTACATTTCGAATAAATTCCACTTCTCAAATCAGAAGCTTTGGATGACGCCAACAGACCCTAAAATGCTCTCTGACTCCTCTTATTTAGATTTCTTTCCTCTATAAAAGGAGCCTATCAGAGATAGTACAACTTATGAGATTCATGAGCTACTTTTTCACCTGCATATTCTCAGTTGTCGCAAATGATTTATAAATTTTTCCAGTGAACTCCCAGATTATTAAAAATCTTATTTCCTTTATTAAAAGACTTGTGTTCATATTTAATTGAAAACTGAGCTTAGATTCTACAGAAAAAATGATCCTACATATTTATACTTACCACAAAATTATAGCTTGCAAAAGCTATAGATTGAGATCATGAGAGAGTCCTAGCTTACAAGTAGAAACAGCTCAATATTCTTTCATAGTATAGTTATTAATATCTCTGAAACCGTCTATTCCGTTGGTTACTAACAGTACTATCCTTAACATATTCAAAGTGAGTAACAAACCCATGTCGAAATAACTCAGGAAAGTAAAGGACTAGCCTCTCTTTTTACCAAGTAAAATAGGCATTAGGTTGACAAAACTTTAACTTCTTTTGCTGTTAAATAGATTTATTACTATCTTGACAAAGGATGGAGCTCAGATGAATAATAGTAATGAAAGAATAGGTTTACTAAAGCTTGTAAAGGGCTTGTGTCTATGATCTTAGTAAAGAGATAGCTAATTTAGAAGAAACACAAGCCTTCTTATTCAACAATGCAACAAACGTGCAGTCATCTTGGGTAGAGAAAAAGAGTGATTGAGGAGCAACTAGCTGAAGGCGATGTTATGTCGAGGAGCTGGGAGATCTATTTATTTATCAAATAACTCGGCATTAAGATAAGAGGGCTGAAGTCTCCTCAGCCCGTTTTTACTGCTTATAGCATTTGTGGCATTATTAATAAGAAAACTATTCACATCTTATGCGTAAGGGAGAACAATGAATCTTTTAGGCATCTTTTAACTTTGAAGCAGTTTGTTGAGTATTCATGCTTATTTTGCTAAGCTTTCTTCTGAGAATCAAAAGTTAATAATTTAGGAGTGTTCCTTCGAATTATGAAAGCTGTAATAAACAGTCAATCAAGATAACCCTATTTCATCTATTAAGAAAAAGTATTTCAGTTAAGTTTTTTCAAAAATATTATTCATATCTCTTTTGGGAATGAAAACTGGATACAAATAATGCTTATGACAAGATATGTAGGAGTGTCTCAAGTAACAACAGGCAATGAACTTGAAAAAGTACCAAATTTTTTAAATGAAAGAACCTTCAGAGATCAGCTTCAACCATCTTTGTTATCGCAATTCATTCTAAATTTTCATCTTAGTCTCATTTGTCTCAATACCTTCACAAGAGTTTAAAAGACCAGTGAAAGTACCATGCTTTCCATTTCTGGAAATTAAATTATCATTACTTTGTTTATCCTAATGAAGAGTTGACAGATCCTTTAAAGGAGGAAGCTTATCATAACTCAGCCTAATTCACTGAGGAAATATTGGATGTTAGCATGACCGAATTCACTGATTCATAATCCTTGCAGAACTTATGGCTCTTAAAGTTTCTAGAGTTTTAATGGTTCGAATAATTCAAAAATATTGGAGACTTCCATATTATTGAAAAATTGTGTAAAAACTAAATTTTTATTCTAAGACACTTCTTTCGGGAAGATGCGCCAATTTGTAGTTATGAAAAATCCGACTTCTCTTGGTATGCTAAAAATATTAAAAATGCTCCTAATGAGCTTCTAAACTCATAGATAATATTTTACCGAAGTTTCGAAAGCTCTTGAACAAGTCTGAAATATTTCTAAAAATATGGTGAATTGGTCCTGAAATATTGACTAAATGATCGAAATAAGACATCCTCGGTGTCTCTTTAAGCAATAGAGTTTGAGAAATATGCTAATCAACGCTGAAGAGTACCTCCTCAGTGATTGCATGGTTATAAAATTCACAAATAATATTAAATAATTTTAAGACGTATGGATTCACCAGTCTGAAATCTGTGACTGAACAGAAAATACTGCAAGTCTTTTCCTTCAAGCAGCAAGATTTTCTTTCTCTGACTCTGAAACTTTCTCTCTCAAAATATTCAGCTAGGAAGTTTTAGCAGAGATATCATTAGTTTAATCAAAATCTAGGCCATAAATTTTTAATTGGTTTTAAGGTAATTTTGAAGCTCAAAAGGAGAAATTCATTTTCCCAAAAATATTGAGTTTGGGAATATTATGGCTACAAATAAGCCTTAATATGGTATTATGGGGGTATTCTAGACCTCTTTAAATATCTTCCATTCTCCCAGTCTTTGTTGCAACTAAAATCGGCATAATTCTTTGGATATCTTGAATCTTGCTTTGATTTTAAACTATTTGAAATCCAATAATTCTTAAAGAAATCCTGTAAAAAATCGTGGCTTATGACACAAAACTAAGTATACAACTCATCGGTGAACTTTTAGCAAGAATAGTTTAAGAACTTAAAAACTTTCAAGAAAATCTAAAATAGATTCATGGGGGTGAAGTGGTTTCTAAATGTTCATATGCATACTTCATAAACGACATCAACGACAAAAACAATGTAATATTCAAATAAAACTGATGGCAGATTTTCAAGTCTTAGGCACCCCTCGTTTTAGAGATTTCTCAGGTTTGAAGCTCATGAACTTGTCAATCATTTTTCAAAGTTGTTTTAATTACTTATTCTTATTTACAGCAATGGTTTGCTCTTGAAGTAGCTAATGAGGTCATATCTAGCTCATATTTTGCGAAGACAACAAGTTTAGACTCTCTTAAGGACTCATTCCTTGTATTACTCTCCCTTACAGACCTTTTAGAGGAGTAGAGCTGCACAAGAAGATAGGTATTTTTATTGATTCAAAAATCTGATGAAGAATCAAAATACTGCGAATTTCTGAAATTTGCATTAAATTTTTCATTCAAGATATGGTCTGAATAAATTTTTACTAAAAATTACCTATTTTATGTGCAGCTAAGACAAAGGATTCATAGTTTTATGCAATAATGGGCAAATAGAGACTTATTTTTAGCAACTATTAGTCCAAGGTATCAAATTTAGCAATGAAAAATATTAGAAGAAATTATCTGAAACAATTTGCCAAAGATTCACCTTGGTCTTATTGCTTGAGGAAATATCACTAATGAATCTAATCAAAGGATGTTATGTTTTTCATTCCTAAGAGAAGCTTAAAAAATAGAAATCTCTATGGCAGACACTTTGATCCATTGGCTCATCAAACATGCATGCTTTTGAACCTCAACCAACCTCTAGTGGTTGTGGAAAGACTTTTAGGCATGTTTTATTCGAAGGTTTCAAGCCATAAAATTTAATAAGGGGTTTTGGGGTTTTGGGGTTTTGGGGTTTTGGGGTTTTGGGGTTTTGGGG